CTGCCCTAGTTCTGCTGCCACACTATTGAAAATGAGTTAGGAGTAGAGGATACAATCAGCAGAGCCACTGCACAGGCACAGCAGAGCAGTCTTGCACAGATGCTGGAGAAGAAGTTCCAGGAGTTGATTAGATTCACATGTTGTTACTTTCATACCTAAGTCTTTTAAGACATTGAATAGTTGTGTTTTGCAGTAAGAGAGAAACACTAGCCACCTGAATTTCTTTGATAAATAGCAGCCTTTGAAGTTTTTAATTAACAACCCCTCCCTGACTTGCTGCTTTAGGGTTCATTATTACCCCATTGCTTCATTCTTCTTGACTTACCCTGATGGCAGTGAACCTTGAAAGAAAGAAGGTAGTAACAAAAATATATTTCTGTTTGCTGGTAACTTTTCAGAAAGCAGCCAGAACATTCACACACAAAAACCTTCCAGTTGATGGTGCTGCTCTCCACCCTTCAGGTCACATGGACTCTGCCTGTTGATTTAAAGGGTTTGTGTATCTCCTGTCCCCAACACTACCCCACCCTACCCCTTGCTTTATATTCATTCTTGTCGGTAAGAACTTGCAAGACAACTGAAAAAGCATAAGGAAGGGGTGGGACAGGATCATGGTTTGCTGGCATTTATTTTGATGCATTACTAACTGCCCAAGCACACCCAACTCCCAAGCAGTGCTTTTTCCTTCAGCACAGGGTTGTGCACAGCTCATTTGAAGTATTTGTACCAATGGAAAAAAACTTCAGCATTTCTCTTATCTATGAGCACACCTTTCTCAGGCATTTTGGAGCCTTAGGACTTGTGTTTGTAGTGGTGAAAGGCTATTCCAGGTCACAACTGTTTTCTGTGGGCTGCCTCCCCCTTTTTAAACATGCTTGGGAAGGAGAACAGGTCATAACTTTAAACAGCATCAGCACGGCAGAACTGCATGACAGACACAGGGAAATTGTCTCAGGAGGTCATCTAGTCTACAGACAGAAACCTACAACAGATGCCAGAAGACATGCACATGGTTTAGGGGTTTTAGTAGTGACAGGTTAATGGTTGGACTTGATGATCTTAGAGGTCTCCTCCAGCTTTGCTGATTGTTGGAGCAAGTCCAGAGGAAGCCACAAAGTTGCTAAGAGCACTGGAGCATCTCCCCTGTGAGCACAGGCTGAGGGAGTTGGGGCTGTTCAGCCTGGAGAAGAGAAGGTTGTGTGGAGACCTCAGAGCACCTTCCAGGAGCTGAAGGGGCTCCAGGGAA